TGTACATTACAAAAATATTTTTAAAATGTGCACCCGATAGGCGTCTGTGGAGTCATTAAATAATACTTTGCAAAAAACAAACGGGCTAGCCGCAAACGTCCCTGTATGCACCTGACTGACAGATATGTCAACTAATTGACAGTGATTGAGAGTGATCAGCTTGGAACATTATTGGCTTAAAGGGTTCAGAGATAAAAACTCTTTATAATCCAGATATAAACTTTTGGCTCTTTGTCGTGATCGCAATCAGCTAGAAAACCGACGGCTCACGGAGGAAACCAAAACTTGAAACCAGCAAAAAGACTCAGAAGCTCTCAGAAAGAGATAATAATCGATTTTGCGATTTTTCTCTATTTTATTGTTTGCTTCTTTAATGGGATCTGGATTGATGTTGAAACAAAAGCCTGTTTTCAAAATTGTTGACGTTTTGCCTTACATGTTTGGACCTGCGGACGCCTAAACAAATGTCGAAATGGCGGCAATTTTAAGAACACGCTTTTGGTTTTAGATCTTTTCAAGTCCCGTTCGATAAGCAAGCAATAGAATCGCTACATGCGGCTTCTGAGCAAAATGTCAACGGTAAAGTCGGTTCATAGGAAATTTCTGAAGCCAAACCAACACCGAAAATTCTTGAAGTTTTTCTATGCAAAACGCATTGAGGATAAACAACAAATATTTCCTTTAGATGGTCTGTTTGCCGGAAAATTCATCAGTTACTTGGATATAAACATGGAAAAAGAAAAAAGGAAGGTTACCAATAGAGGAAAACTGCAATATCTACAGCGAATGAAAATATAGAGCCAATACGGAAAATTTGAAGAATCAAAGAGGGTATTGAGGGAAGTTGGGACTGAAATCATACAAGAGTAAGAAGAAGATAATCTTTGTTATAATTGACAGCAATTAATAAACGAATGAATGAAAATGGTAATTTTCCACCAAATACTTCAATGGTTTTAATTTTTCTGTCACTGTTTCCAACTCTATTATTTGCAAGGTAAATAGATTTGCGGAGATCAAGCTGATCTTCAGCTTCAGCACAGGTTTAGTTGTATACTGAAGATTCCGTCTTCACCAATTCCGCCGATTTCCTAGCTGTATTTTTCGCAGATTCGTATCATAATCATAATTCTTCACAATGAATATTTACAAAAATCTTGATTACATCCGACTTTCCATTACCTTACTCTTTTGCTATACAGATTAATGCTATTATTTAGAAATAGTGGATTTAGATACTTAAAAAACACACATTTAAAAAATGTGCTTTCAAAACCATATAAATGGCTTAACTTAACAACAAATTACCAACGCTTCTGGGCTGTTTCATATGAAATATGCCAGAAAACAAACGCCACACATGCTGACAAGTGCATTTGTTTTTCAGATACATCGTACAAAGGATCATGGACTTCACATCCAGTTTCACAGTCGCAAGGTAAGAAGTGAAGCTGATTTATAATATTCAGTCGCTTAGTATCGATTAGAGAAAATATTCAATTACCTGAAGAGCAGAGATTTGGTTGCTCTAAATATGCTATTTGCAATATTTTGTAAAATGCTGATCGCGTTATAAAGCAGTGAAGAGTAAAAAAGAGATGGTTTACTGCGGGTTTTCGTGTTTTTAGGAAGTTGATCCTAACGTTTCTCTAGCAATGGCTATAATCTTCAGATCTGTGTTCGCTCGAAGAACATCACACTTGTTACGGTCATAACTCAAAAAATTTAAGCGCTCAAGGTAGCAGATTGGAACATAACAGCTTGCAGTCCATCTTGCTTCTCTCATAGAAATSTATGTGTGCGAGTGAGATAACCGATGTCAGCTACGTTCCTGAATGAAAGTTTCGGCTTCATTTAATTGATTCAAATCAGAGTGTGAGGAATCAACGAGAATCTACACTGAAGGTGCTGGTTATGCGTGCTAGCGAAACCTTAGGAGCAAGTTCCACACATCCAGCAGATTTTTTTCTTATTTTCATGAATGTTAAGTTGAAATTGACAACACAAAAAAAGTTGAAAATTTACTATCGACCCATTCCATCTGATTAAATGCGAATAAACAGTTTATTAACACTTAGTGCAAATAATCAAATTAAATTTGAAAAGAAAAATGCAAAAAGTTAGTGGGCTCGTCCGGGATTTGAACCCGGGACCTCCCGCACCCTAA